TTTTTGCTTCCCAGGGAGAGTGAAGCCTTCCATGGGGAGTCTTCAAAGTCTGTCATATCATTTCAAGCAGGGCCTACGCCCTCCCCCATGTGTCTAGGTTGAGAGAGTATATATCCCTCTATGTGGAATGGGATCCCAAAGTCCATTCAGATACTAGGGATAAATACTGATCCAATACCAGAGGCCCCATAGACTGCCTAGTCCTCCCAATTAAAACCCACATTCAGGGGTTCCGGGTCAGTCCTATGTTGGTTTCCCAGCTATCGGACTGGAGTCCATGAGCTCCCCCTTGTTCAGGTCAGCAGTTTCTGTGGGTTTCTCCAGCCTGGTCTTGACCCCTTTTCTCATCATTCCTCCCTCTCTGCAACTGGATTCCAGGAGATATGCTCAGCATTTAGCTGTGGGTGTCTGCTTCTGCTTCTATTGGCTACTAGATGAAGGCTCTAGGATGACATAAAAGGTAGTTATCAATCTCATTATTGGGGAAGGTCATTTAAAGTATCTCCAACTCAGATTGTTAGTTGAGGTCATCCTTGTAGATCTCTGGACATTTCCCTAGTGCCAAATTCCTCTAAAACCTATAATGGCTCTCTCTATTATGGTATCTCTTTTCTTGCTCTCCTCTATTCTTTCCCTGACTCAATCTTTCTGCTCCCTCATGCCCTCCTCTCCTCTCCCCTTCTCTTCCTCCTAAATCCCTCTCCCCTCCCCCAATGCTCCTAATTTGCACAGGAGATCTTGTCCCTTTCCCCTTCTCTGGGAGACCATGTATGTCTCTTTTAGAGTCCTCCTTGTTTCCTAGCTTTTCTGGCTGTGTAGATTGTAGGCTGGTGATCCTTTACTCTATGTCTAAAATCCATATATGAGTGGGTACATAGTGTTTGTCTTTTTGTGACTGGGTTACCTCACTCAGGATGCTTTCTTCTAGTTCCATCTATTTGCCTTCAAATTTCAAAATTCCATTGTTTTGTTGTTTTGTTTGTTTGTTCCCCCCCCCATGAGTAGTACTCCCTTGTGTAAATATACCACATTTTCTCCATCCAGTTGAGGGGCATTTAGGTTGCTTCCAGGTTCTGGCTGTTACAAATAATGCTGCTATAAACATGGTTGAACAGATGTCCTTGTATAAATGTGCATCTTTTGGGTATATGCCTAAGAGTGGAATTACTGGCTCTTGAGGTATACTGGTTCCCATTTTTCCTGAGTAACCGCCATGCTGATTTCCAATGTGGCTGTACAAGTTTGTGCTCCCACCAGCAGTGGAGGAGTGTACCCCTTTCTCCACATCCTCTCCAGCATAAACTGTCTTTGGTGTTTTTTATTTTAACCATTCTGACAGGAGTAAGATAATATCTCAGAGTTGTTTTGATGGCTCTCCTGATGGCTAAAGATGTTAAGCACTTTCTTAAATGTCTTTCAGCCATTTTAGAGTCCTCTATTGAGAATTCTCTATTAAGTTCTGTGCCCCACTTTTTACTTGGTTTATGTAGTATTTTGTTAACTAGCTTCTTGAGTTCTTTGTATATTTTGTAGATCAGCCCTCTGTCAGATGTGGGATTGATGAGTATCTTTTCCCTGCTATAGGCTGCCATTTTGTCTTGTTGACTATTACCCTTTGCCTTACAGAAACTTTTCAATTTCAGGAGGTCCCATTTATTAATTGTTGATCTCAGTGTCTATGCTACTGATTTGACAAATTCTTAAATTTTTTTTTTTGGTTTTTGATTTTTCAGTATTATGCATTCTGATAATTGGTGAACACTGTTGTTTCATTTTTGGTGCCTGTTGTAGGCCTGTACCTGGTGTTCCCAGTTGCTAGGTGTTGGTTGTCCTTAGTATTTTGCTTCAAAGCATCCTGCTTATATCAGGCATTGTTCATCACACTGTTCAATTGTTTTACGATCAGTTTTATGTTCTGTCACTCTTTTCTACAGAATAGTGTTCCTCAAGCACAGAAAAAAATGGTTGGTTTGACTATCTAAACAACAGAAGGACTAGTACAGGGTTGTGTCTTCCTCATTGTAACATCTCCGTCACAGTAGACATAGTAACAATGGAGTTGAAGAAGGCTGTATATAACACTGGATTTATTCATTCAAACAGAAGTTTGTAAAAATTGCTGACAGCATACTCGGACGCCTGGTACAAAGAAGACAAAATACAACCTTTTGTCTTAAGGCAAGCAAAGCAAATGACAAGAGTATAGTGTGATATGAGTTATTCAGAGAAGATGCCATTTTTACAGGACAGGAAGTGGGTCAAGTGGTTAAGGAGAACATGGGCTGTGAAGCAGAATCGCCAGTTTCCAGTCGTCAGTCACTAGCTAATTTTAGGCACACTGTTTAATGTCCCTGTGGCCTGCTGTTGTCTCATACATGAAATGTGGGGATACATGAACCCACCCCACCATATTATTATGGATGGAAGTTAATTATATTTATACAATGTTTATAGGCTAGCATAAAGTAAACACTCAATAAAGGTTTCCTGTTGCAATTGCAGAAGATGAACTCTGCCTGGGGGTGGAGGTTGTCTAGAGATAGATAAGGATTAAAGTTGGGGAGACCTTTCTCAGGTAGATCCTGATAAAAGTCCTAAAGATTTCCAGAACAAATATTTACCAGGTGAGGTCTATGCCCTGAATACTAGGTATTCCAGTGTAAAGTAACAGAGGGTGGAAATGTAGTTTGAAAACTTCCTGCTTTCAAAGGGTTCAAAGTCACAGCAGCGTGTGACAAGTCATGGTGGGTTTCTGGAAGTATGAAGAATTCGAGGCAACAGAGAATGAGGTGAGGTTAAAGAGACACGAGAGACAGGAAGAAATCTAAGTGGGGTGTCAACGTTCATACTGTTCTATGGCATTTTAGGTTTATAGAAGGAATCAAATAATGCTTTGGCGAGGGTGGGAGTGATGTGGTCAGACATATGTACCTACTGTCACCTGTCCTAACCCAAATCTCTTGAGTAGCATTGCCTCACTATTTAAGATGGGGGTGGGGGCCTAATTTTCTGTGCCAACCCAAGCTATTTAATCTTGGAAATAAAAACACAAATTAAGCAGTGAAAACTTTCCACATTTGCAGTGGGAAAAAAAGCACCTTGACTTGGGGCACAGGGCATTTTATCTCAGAGATGATATATACTACTACATGAAGCTCTTGTGACAGCCAATAGTGGTTTGGCCCCTCTGGATCTTTCTCATATCGTTTGGTGTTTTCTCAGTTCACTTAACTAACAAACATTTATTGTGTTAGGCACTGCTTTATGTACTGGGAATCAACAAAGAATTAAAAAAAAAAAAGTCTAGATGCCTGCAGTTCTCTGAGCTAAGTGAAGTATTTGGAGATTAAATAATTGAAACAAACAAAAAATTGAAGCAGATTAAGAAAAGCTGGGAGTGTCCATTCACCAAAGAATTAAAGAGAGGTTAAAGAGGATGTGAGGATGGTTTCAAGTGAATGAACAGGAACACAAAGCTTGCTGTAAGTGCAACACAAATTAGTGTGTGTGTGGGGGGGGATCCTTTCTCTACACAAGGGCCACAGCTGTGATACCCCCTTACTCACTGATGTGTGAATGTATAACATATATGAGATTTGTTAAGCTTCCTTTTAGTAATGTGGTAAGGACAGTGCCTAAAATTAGCCTTGTATTCCTGAAACAAATTTAGGGTTTGGGGGTGGTGGTGAGTTTGTGTGTGTGTAAGGGGGCTGGACAGCATCCCCTAGCTTGAAACAAGGCCTGCCAGAGTTCTATTTCTTTTTTTTCTTTTTATTTATTTATTTATTTATTTATTTTATTTAATTTTATATAACAAAGTCCAATTAAATGAAAACAAACATTTATACACAATATTTGGGAATTTGGGCGTCGTTCTTTCCAAACTACTTCCTGCTGGTAAGGGGCGCTGTCTTGGGGGATTCGAAGAAGATTCAGATATCCTAGCTGTAGTCTGTAGGGCTGTTTTGTCCAGCTGTTTGGAATGTAGGATCAGCTTGTACAGAGTTCTATTTCTTACAACTGGCCCTAATTACAACCCAAACTGACAGGAACCTCCCCCCACCCCTTGTCACAAAAACCCCATCAGGGAGTGGTGTCCTTAGTGATTCTTTTTTTTTTTTTTTTTTTTTTTTCCTTCAGTAGCTCTGATTCCAAGGAAAGAATGCCACCTACTGAATCATTCCCACCAGCAGCCAGTCCTGCAAAGTGCTAGCACTACTTAACCCTGGTCTGTTCCAAATGTCTTATTATTATTTAGAAGAGAAAAAAAAAAAAAATCACTATTTGAGCTGACAGGAAGTTGGGCTCTGAGCGCGGATATCTGATAAACGTTTCCACATATTGTCGCCTTCTCAATGGCTATGCCAAATTTCAATCTCCTCTCTGCTTGCATTTTCCTTTTAATTGGGTTTTCTCCTTCAGAATGCGGGCTCCCTGCAGCCTGCAGGCTGCAGCCTGCAGAAGCCGGTGGTGCAAACCTGCAAAAGGCCACAGCCTAGGGTTAAGCTAGACAGGCTTAGCTAGCAAACGTTCGAGATTGCACCCTAGGTCGGGCGATGCCACCCGGGCTTCCCATTTTATCCAACTCGGTCCCCAGGCCTCGGGCGGGGAGGCGGGGTGGGAGTCCCCTCCGCAGTCAGTCGCGGAAGCCAGTTAGGCAGGCGGTCCCTGCAACTCCTCTGCGCGAGCCACGGTCGCTGCGGCTCCCGCGCTGCAGCTGCGCGGGAAGGGACGCGGGCGGGAGCGAGCGAGCTCACAGGGGCGCGGGGCTGCAACCGGAGGGCCGCGGTGCGTGGCGCCCTGCGGTGAGGGCTTCGGACCCGTCTGGACCCGAGACGCCTACCGAGGTTGGTGGCTCCCGCAGCGAGCTCTAAGTGCCCAGAGCTCGCGGCCGCGCGCACAGGCGGCGCAGGGAGGGTGGCTGGGGCGGGGCGGGCGCAGAGGGGCGGGGCGGGGCTGGCGTTGACGGACGGGCGGCCGCGGGGAGCGCCTGCAGCCGGAGCAGAGTGCGGCGAGCGCGGCGAGCGCGGCTCGGGCCGCGGTCCATGGCCCCGACGGGAGGCGCGCCGCCCGCACCCGCACCCGCATCCCGGCGTCCGGCCTGAGCGGACCGCGCCGCGCAGCCACCCCGTCCTGGGCTTGGGCTTGGCTTGCAGATCTTCTTCATGGAAGCGATGTCTCCACAGCAGGATGCTCTAGGAGGGCAGCCGGGGCGCTCCTCCTCGCTGACAGGGATGTCTCGCATCGCGGGAGGCCCTGGTACCAAGAAGGTGAGGACGCCGTGCGGGGAGGGGGGGTTGGAACAGGGGCGCGCGCCTTTCACGCGTGCCTGGCGCTGAGAGGGGTTAACGGTCCCCGCGGGGCTTGGGGGTGGTGTCACCTCTCGGAATCCCCCGCTGCCTGTCTGGAGGGAAACCGGTCTCAGAGAAGCCCCTTGCCTCCTATAGGTCCTCCTCCACCTTTAACCCGAGAGGTGCCTCCCCACGGGTCCCCGGGGTGGCCTTGACCCGGTTGTTTGAGAAAGGTAGGAGGCCCGGGAGGGGGCGACTATGCGCCCAGCCCGGGCCTCCAGGGGTGTCAGAGATGGGTGTCATAGGTCACCCTGCTGGACCCAGAGGTGTTCGTTCAGCTGGCCTAGATCTAGGCTGGATAGCGGCGGGTAGGCAGCTTCTGGGGGTCTCAGCGGGCATGGGGGACTTGGCCTAGAGCCACCTCCTGGGAGGGAACCCTGCAGGAGCCTATGGGGGCGGTGCCCTTGTTCACTGGCACCCGGAGGAGGACCTGTGTGGGCAACTACTTGTAGCATTTGCTTGTGACTGTCTGGTCCATGGTGCAGAGGGAGGATTTCGATGGGGGTCAGGTGTGTGCAATAGGCTCCTGAGCAAGTGCACGTGGGCCTCGAGCTTCTGGGCTCCTGGGAATTGATTTGGGTATTCCTGTAGCCATGTCTGCCACCCCTTCCTCCAGCACAAAAATCTACGGATAATTGGCCGTATTTGTTCCTTACCATGGTGCTGCCTTTCCCAGCTTCTCTGAAAACAAGTTGGGATAAGAGATCATTCTAGCTCTTCCCGAACAAATATGTGAAGACGTTGCATTACTATAATTAGAGACTCAAGGGGATACACCGGCTCGCTGCATGTCCAGATTTTATGGCCTTTCATTAATCTTCCCACTAGGATGGTGGGTTGGCTGGAGGTCAGTGAAGAGGGGTGACATCTGTATAGAAATGTATGTGAGCTCCCAAGGACCTTGGCCCTGTCGCAGAGCCATCTATGTGAACTTGATGTATGGGCAGTAGTGAAGGCTCAGCCTTTGATGTATGGAGACTGTTTGTCCTTGCCGTGTTTTTTCACCTCCCTTCAGAGATGGAGGGTGTGTGTGTGTGTGTGTGTGTGTGTGTGTGTGTGTGTGTGTGTGTGTAATCCAGTTTTTCCAAATAAAATGTGAAAATGTCAGGATGTCCTAATTTAGAATGGCAAATGAACATTAAGCAACTGGCATAGATTTAAAGCATTTTTTGTTTCTGTAAACCTAAGGAATTGGAAAGAATCAGGCATTTGTTTTCATGAAGTGTGGCCCCTCCCCCGAGGCTGATTAAGCACACCAGCATAGGAGTGGGGAGGGGTGCATTAAATAGTAGCTTTATCATTTTCAAGCCCCAGTTGTCCCATAACTGAAGGGTGGCTGGGCCTTTTCCCCAATGTTCTTTTCTCTTAGGCACAGCCCCTATCTCTACAATGGTGTCCTTCGTTATAAAACATAAAGGGCTAGTACATTGCCACATCAATCTCTACTTTCTGAAAACTGTTGAGAAAACTGAATGAATGAATAATGGCCTGTAGGCACAATGATGTTAGCACTTAGTGTACATTTCCCCATGCTTGCAATCCACACAACATTTCTGTCCCGGGTTGCTCAAGCCCATAATCTAGAATGGGTTTTCAACACCTTTCCTCACTCTGCAACAGCCAATCCTTCATAGCAGCTACTATCCTTTCAATGGGTCCAGCCTTTCTCCACTCCATCCCCACCTCTGCAGTCCAAGCTACCCCATAACCACCTCTTTCTGTGACCCATTCTGATTTTGGCAGTGCCAGTGTTTCTTAATTGACATGATGTTCACCTTTGCTTTCAATTCTGTGCTAAAATGGTTTGGGTTTTTGTTTTCCAATTTGAATTAATCATGATGGTTGTTTGCTCACGAGTCTGAAAGGGATTCATTTTGTATGCATAGTAAAATGCAGGTCCTTTTCCCGGTCCTGACTACTCCCACCCCCTTTACCCTGCTCCCTTTTATATGTTCTTCAGCCACATGGGCCTTCATTTTCATTCACCAAGTCAAATTCATTCCTATTTTGTGGTGGTTGGTGTTATTCCCTTTATGTCTGTTCCAAGTGGCCTTTTTTTTCATGTTATGCAAATCTTGAGTCTTCATAGAGTACCTGTGCTCTCTCTCCCTTCTTACTGTGTAAATGGAAGCCACCTCTAGTTACGCTCGGTGCCTTCTGCTTTAGTGGTTGTCTTAGAATTGTACTTGGCATTTTTCTCATCTACTTGTTTCTTTCCCCATTGTCTGCATCCCTCTCAACTGTGTTCTCAAAGGTAGAGTAGGGCCTGATAGATATTAAGTGTTTCCTAAGCATTCCCTGGTTTCTTTAAAGCAAAAAAAACAGAAGCAGTTTGGTCCCTGTCTGTAGAATCTATTTTTGTAGAGAAGGAACACCAATTCTTAAAGAAACAGGTAGTAAATACTTTAGGTTTGCAGGCCTCATGGTCTCTGCTTAATTCTTCCATTACAGCTCCATAGTCAGTACATAAATGAATAGGCTTGATTGTGTGTAGTGGAAGCCAGTAAGATAGCTCATCAGGTCAAAGCAGTTGCTGAGCAAGCCTGGAAACTTGAGTATGAACCCCCTACACCAGAGCCCACATTAACACAGAAGGAGAGAACTGATTCTTATAAAATTGTTCTCTGACCTCCATATACATAGCACATTCGTGTGTGCATGTACACACACACACACTAATAATAATAATAATAATAATAATAATAATAATAATAAAACATACTCTGGAGTTTCCCAGGCTCTAGTTTGAAGCAGCGCTTCTGAGTGAGACATGGTCAGGTGTGAAGCTTTATCTTCAGTGTTCAGCTCCTGAAGTATGCATAGTACAACTGAAGATTTTAACAGCTCCCTTGAGCTTAACTGATAAACAGTAACCTAAAATATTTATAATTTATCAATCTAAGGCATGATTCATGTATGCCCTATATTCCCAAGAAATCATCCAACTGCTTTATGACACTATAAAGTGTGAGTTTTCATCTTATATGAGTGAAATATGATTTTTATGCTTTTGTTTTTCTTTCACTGTATTTTTATATCCATGTGTTAATGTCTTTCATTGCAGAGTGATAAAGATCAAATACCTTAACTTGGAGGTTTCAGATATCATTTTAGATTTTAAATTACTTACCCATAGTGAGATACCTTGTGGATGAATGGCATTCAAGTCTCAATATAAAGTTCATTCACATCTCATTAGCACCTTACATGCATAATCTTAAAATCGTTTGGTTCATTGTTTTTAGTGTATTTTGACCTTTCCCATCACAGATATGCATAGAACTTTCTTCTTTGATCAGCAATCAGAAAGTGTCAGGGTTTGAAGGCGTTTTGGATTGGAAACTTTGGACGTGAGACCTGTAGTGCATTTATCCATTCATCTGGTGTTCAGACTGCTTCCATTTCTAGGCTGTTAAAAGTGAAGCTGCTGAGAGCCTTCACACACAACTCAGAATGGACCGATGCATTCTTCAGGGTAAATAAGTTGGGATGGGATGACTGGGTCATACTTAGCCATATACTTGACTCTTCAAGAAACTGGTTGCTTTACCATGAAGTGTTTTATATTTCCAACAGCACCGATTTCCACATGTGCTCACCAACACTTGTTATCATCTCTCTATGGGTTATGGTCCTCTAAGGGGGCGTGAAGTCGTGCTCTGTGCTCTGGAGCTGCACTTAATGATTTTGAGTATCTTCTCAAATGTTCACCATCCACACATTATCTTTGGTGAATTATCTATTTAAATGCCTTGCCAACATTTGTTGGGTACTCTTTGTACATTCTGAATTCAAACCCTTTATTGGGTATGTGACTTTTCAAAATATTTTCTCTCTGTCTGTGACTAGTATTTTTTATTTTTGCAGCCTTATTTTCCCAAGAACAGAAGTTCTTCATTTGGTGAAATATAACTTTTTCTTTTGTATTTCTTCTTCTTCTTTAATTTGACTTAATTGTAATTAACTTAAATTTATATAGTCATATATATCTAGTGATTATAATACTGGACAGCAGGTTTAGAGGGAGAGCTTAAAGACAGTAACAAAACAATTATTGAACGGCTTATGGAAACACAATTGCAGTAGCAGGGTGGTGGTGGTGCTGCACTCCTTTAATCCCAGCATTAAGGAGGCAGAGGCAGGGGCATCTCTGTGAGTTTGAAGCCAGCCTGATCAATAAATCTAGGACACCTAGGGCTACATGGAGAAAACTTGTCTCAAACAAACAAACAAACACAACAACAACAACAAAAACCCCAAAACAGAAAAATAAATAGTCCTGATTTGAACAGATGCAGGTATTCAGATGGACACTCTGAACTGGGTTGTTGAGTGGAAAGCCTGTTCTGTTTAAAGTGCTCTGTAGAAGGAAAATCCTCTTAGTTAAAAAAGGATTTCAGTAAGTGGGGGCACATTAATTAAGTCCAGAGGTCCTAGGGAGGGTCTGTTTGAGCAACTACCTTTAAGGTGCTCTATAAAAAAGTCAGGCTTTTTATTTTATGGCTTATTTATTATTTTAACCTCCAGAATTACCTAGCTGATAGCTTGCCTTTATTTGCTACTCACAAGATTTGATGGTCTTTCGAGAAGGTCCAATCTACCTGAGAAGACAGCTTCTGTCATTGGGGGCCTTCAGAAGAACATACAATAAATTCATGCAGTATTTCCTAGAATAGGGCTCTCAAATGTATGTACAGTATACAGAATGCAATTTAAACTCTCCTGGAATAATATGTTCCTGGGGAAATGTCCATATTTGTCCTGCACAGTCCTGGTACACTGGAAGCCCATATTAGAGTCACTTTGGCATTAGGAATGACTGTGTCATATTCAAGCACACTGACCCTTCGGCTTCACTTAGCAATTAAAAACTGTTTAATGGGGCAAGGATATTGGAGTAGGAAAGAGATTTATAAGCA